AATATTTTCTAATCTAAATTATACTCTGTACTAATGCTTTGTCAAGGTCGTTTGTCGATCGTTCGTTCGTCAACAGCACACATTTAAAATTGAGGTAATTACACTGAGCAAAAATATAAATGCAACATGCAACAATTTCAAAGAGTTTACTGAGTTACAGTTCATATAAGGAAATCAGTCAATTGAAATAAATTCATTAGACCCTAATATATGGATTTCAAATGACTGGGAATACAGATATGCATCTGTTGGTCACAGATACCTTTTTTTTATTTTTAAGTAGGGGCGTGGATCAGAAAACCAGTCAGCATCTAGTGTGACCACCATTTGCCTCATGCGGCACGACACATCTCCTTCGCATAGAGTTGATCAGGCTGTTGATTGTGGCCTGTGGAATGTTGTCCCACCCCTCTTCAATGGCTGTGCAAAGTTGCTGGATATTGACGGGAACTGGAACACGCTGTCACACATGTCAATCCAGAGCATCCAAAACATGCTCAATGGGTGACATGTCTGGTGAGTATGCAGGCCATGGAAGAACTGGGACATTTTCAGCTTCCAGGAATGGCTGCATCATGTTATGGGTATGCTTGTAATTGACAAGGACTAGTGAGTTTTTTTTTGGATAAAAATAAATGGAATAGAGCTAAGCAAAACAAAATCCTATAGGAAAACCTTTTTCAGCCTGCTTTCCATCAGACACTGGGAGACAAATTCAACTTTCAGCAGGACAATAACCTATAACACAAGGCCAAATATACACTGGAGTTGCTTACCAAGACAACATTGAATGTTCCTGAGTGGTCTAGTTACAGTTTTGACTTAAATCTGCTTGAAAATCTATGGCAAGACTTGAAAATGGCTGTCTAGCAGTGATCAACAACTAACTTGCCCGAGCTTCAAGAATTAAAAAAATAATAACGTGCAAATATTGTACAATCCAGGTGTGCAAAGCTCTTAGAGACTTACCCAGAAAGAATCGCTGCCAAAGGTGATTCTAACATGTATTGACTCAGGGGTGTGAATACCTATATTACTTCATTTTCAATACATTTGCAAAAATGTCTTAAAACATGTTTTCACTTTGTCAATATTGGGTATTGTGTGTAGATGTGTGAGATAAAAAACGATTAATACATGTTTTATTCAGGCTGTAACAAAATGTGGAATAAGTCAAGGGGTATGAATACTTTGAAGGCACTGTACATATCGCCACCACCTGATTAACACCAGAAAAATGTCTGCAGATCATTCTGAGATTATGAGGATGCGTAGCGACCAGAGCCAAATGAAGGACTGGCTCAGTAGCTCAGTCAGCTTGTTATTACTCAGGTCCAGGAGCTAGGTGCTATGGACCACACCGTGAGGGATGTGGGTGAGGGCACGAGACTTACAGTCCACCAGGTCTGGGCGGCCAGTAACCGAAATGTTGCAGGTTTGAATACCCGTGCCAACTAGGTGAAACATCTGTCGATGTGCCCTTGAGCAAGGCACTTAACCCTAATTGTGCTTGTAAGTCGCTCTGGATAAGAGAGTCTGCTAAACGACTGAAATACAAAAATGTCTGAGGCTTAAAGGGCACAGACATCTGGAAACCCAGGCCCCAGACATCATGATGACAACAGGCAGGATAACAAGCAACACACCCAGACTTAGCATTATTGAGACGCTGTGCCGTACATGTAGGTCTCATTTCTGAATCTGGAGGATGTATTAAATCAAAGTTTATTGATAGCGTACGCAGGTGAAGGGAAATGCTTGTTTCTAGCTCAAACAGTGCAGTAATACCTAACAATAAAAATAAACTATACACACAATCCATAAAGAAATATCAGAACGAGCAGGGTCCGAGACAGGAATATAAACACAGGTGTGTATGGACAGTATATGAATAGAAAAGGTGTGTACAGCAGTAGTTACATAGGATGAGGCATGACTAGAATACAGTATATACACTGTACAAAACATTAAGAACACCTTCTACAGCAGCCTCTGAATGGCACACATACACAGTCTATGTCTCAATTGTCTCGAGGCTTAAAAATCCTTCTTTAACCTGTCTCCTCCCCTTCATCTACACTGATTGAAGTGAATTTAACAAGTGACATCAATAAGGGATCATAGCATTCACCTGGTCAGTCTATGTCATGTAAAGCGCATAATGTTTTGTACACTCAGTTTACATATAAAGTGGGTAAAACAGTATGTTAACATTATTAAAGTGACCAATGTTCAATGACTATGTACATAGAGCAGCAGTCTCTAAGGTGCAGGGTGGAGTACCGGGTGGTAGCCAGCTAGAACAGTGGCTAAGGCTAGTGGTGACTTTAACAGTCTGATGGCCTGGAGATAGAAGCGGTTTCTTAGGCTCTCGGTCCCAGCTTTCTAGATAAATAATAATAATATGCCATTTAGCAGACACTTTTATCCAAAGCGACTTACAGTCATGCGTGCATACATTTTTTTGATGTATGGGTGGTCCCGGGGATCGAACCCACTACCTTGGTGTTATAAGCGCCGTGCTCTACCAGCTGAGTTACAGAGGGGTGAACATGCCGTGGCTGAGGTCCTTCATGATTTTCTTGGCCTTCCTGTGACACTGAGTACTGTAGATGTGATGCTTTGAGCTGACCGCACCACTCTCTGGAGAGCCCTGCCGTTGCGGATGGTGCAATTATAGTACCAGGTTGTGATAGAGCCCGACAGGATGCTCAATGGTGCATCTGTAGAAGTTTGTGAGGGTCTTAGGGGCCAAGACAAATTATTTCAGCCTCCAGAGGTTGAAGAGGCGCTGTTGCGCCTTCTTCACCACGCTGTCTGTGTGAAGGGACCATTTCAGATTGTCAGTGATGTGCACGCTGAGGAACTTGAAGATTTTGACCCACTCCCCTGCGTCAATGTGGATGGGCGCATTCTCCCTCTGCGGTCTCCTGTAGTCCACGATCAGCTCCTTAGTTTTGTTGACATTGAGGGAGAGGTTATTTTCCTGGCACCACTCCGCCAGCGCTCTCACCTCCTCCCTGTCAGCTGTCTCATCATCATTGGTAATCAGGCCTACCACTGATGTACTAGACTGTCACTGTTTGCATGTGGTTATCTTCATCCAATTCCCAAACTGGATCCCCCAAGATGTTGGTCTATGATGCGTTTGATTCTGTTTTTTTAAAAGAATACACACTGTAGCTGTTATGGGGACAGATATGGTAATGTGATGCAGTTCATAGTTGATGCTGTTGGTGAATGTTGAACGTTCTCAATTAAATAGCTCATCAAGTATCTAATATCAGAGATGGTCCATTTTGGGTGGATACCCATAATACGGATTTGTGTTTGCCACAATTTAAAACCATGACTTCTAGAACATTCTTTATGTTTGATGAGATTAGGTCATTTAGCAACACAAAGGCTTATATCAGTGGAGGCTGGTGAGAGGGGCTATAGGAGAACAGGCTCAGTGTAATGACTGGAATGGAATCAATGGAACGGAGTCAGACATGGGTTCCATGTTTGATACCGTTCCATTGATTCCATTCCAGCCATTAAAATGAGCCTGTCCTCATATAGCCACTCCCACCAGCCTCCACTGATTTATATAGCTTCATTATCTACTACTCAGTAAATCTAAATATACAATATAAAAGAGGTCTTCTGAGCTCAATGGGACTTCCTGGATAAATAAAGGTTCAATTAAACAAAATACACACTTACCCTAGTCCAGTGTTACCAAACCTTATTCTACTTGTCAACTAACCATCAAGCCCTCACTGAGTAGAATCAGGTGAGTTTCTCTTGGGCTACAACAAAAATGTGTGCCGTTGGTGGTACTGGAGGACTGGAGTTGGGAAACACTGCCCTAATCCAGTCATGTCTCCAGTAGTCTGTGAATTAGTCTTCTCCATGATCAGACTTCAGATTAGACCAGCAGGTACCCAGTGGAATGTAATGACACTACCTGCAGATTCTCACTTCCTACTTTGACAGGAACCATCACAGACACTGAAATTACCTGTAAATTACAGTCCATTGGAATGACAACTTAGCCTCCCTTCACCCATCTTGTTCAGTATCCTCTGTTCGAAGTTCTTTGAAGCAGCAAGCACAGCAGGGGCCAGCATTGGATAAATAAAAATCATTTCTCCATTTGAATAATTAATTGAATGTCCAGGTAATGAAGGGATGGATTCTGTGAGGTTAGTTCTCTTTAAACAAATCTATTTCTAATGAGAAAACAACCAGATAAATTCTAATTGCAGTATAGTCAAACTCCAGCAATTGGGACTGATTAAACAACACATGATACGTCATTTTACTTATATGCCACCAATACCAGTAAAATGTTTTAGTTAACTGGACAGCAGGTAAATGATCAGGTGTATAACAGGGTGGCTTGCCAGGTATGACCATGCACATTGAATACGGTCCTGATTAAAACAGCAGCCTACTGGAGCCTTGTGAAACCAGACCGATCTCGTAATAGCTCACATTTGGTGCAGTGGTCAGTCTGGTTGAACGATGCTAGGCCTACTGCACTATTGACTGACCATTATTTTGCAGAGACAATGTTCCATATACCACAAGTCATTGTACAATGAAAATACCTAACAGGAAATCAATCATTTGCCTTCTGAATCTTTCAAAGTTTAGTGTTCTTTGCCTCGCAAAAAGCTATTGAAATTACTGTATTACAGTCACAATTTTAGTTACTTTTATTTTAGAAAATGTCTTTTTAAAGTGTGGCATTTCAAGTCACGTTTTGTTTAAAATACAGAAACTTGTAGAACATGGATACAGCAAAAAGGAACACTGACAGAAAATAAAGCTAACAAGCCTTTCTGACTGCTCTATTTTTCTATTTTTTAAGAAATGAAATTGATGGAAAATAAAAGAGAAGAAGAAAAGCCATTGGGGAGATGAGGGGACGATGATGGATGATGGGGGGATGAAGGATGAGGGGGGCGATGATGATGAGGGGAGGATGATGGATGGGATGAGGGGACGATAATGGATGAAGGGGGGATGATGGATGATGGGGATGAGGGGAGGATGATGGATGGGATGAGGGGACGATAATGGATGAAGGGGGGATGATGGATGATGGGAGGATGATGGATGGGATGAGGGGACGATGATGGATGGGATGAGGGGACAATGATGGATGATGATGGGATGAGTGAGACGATGATTAAGTTAGTTAAAGGAAACTATGGTTGCTTCATGGTTGATGTTTTAAATTATCTTTATAAAGTCTAATTTAAGATTAACTCTCTTTTTTTGTGTGTCTTTTTCGTTAATGTTTTTTTGTTCATCTGGACCCAGTGCCCTTCAGCGCTGGATCGTCCTGGTCTCTGACAACGAGGGCTAGGAATGCCAACCTCGTCCGGCAGTGGGGACAGACTTCCCGCCGTGCCGTCCACCCGCCGCTGTGTTGCCTTCCCTGGCTGGCCCGACCCACACTGCCCTGCGCTGACTCAAGATGATAAAGAGGAGTCCTTCTGTGTTTGCTGTGCTTGTGAACGTTGCTTCTGACTTTCCACATCTCTAAAATGTTTCTCAACCTGCAGAGGAAGGACAGGGAAGACCACTTGAGATGCATGATCAATACTATGTTACCAAAACAAAAGTTATTTGAAAGAAAAGTGCAAATGACATGTCAATTGTATAATTTTTCCACAACCAAGGCAACGTATTGACAGATATAACCATAGTAGTAGGTAGGTTGACAGATAGTAGTAGGTAGGATGACAGATATAACTGTAGTAGTAAGTTGACAGATAACAGTAGTAGTAGTAGTTGGTAAGTTGACAGATTTAACAGTTGTAGTAGGTATGTTGACAGATATAACCGTAGTAGTAGGTTGACAGATAACAGTAGTAGTAGGTAGGTTGACAGATACAACAGTAGTAGTAGGTTGACATATATTTTTAATGATCCAATTAACATTTTAGTCATTTAGCAGACGCTCTTATCCAGAGCGACTTACAATTAGTGAGTGCATACATTTTTCATACTGTTCCCCCGTGGGAATATAACAGTAGTAGTAGGTTGACAGATACAACAGTAGTAGTATCCGTCAACCTACCTACTACTACTTTTATAACAGCTGTAGTAGGTAGGTTGACTGATTTAACAGTAGTAGTGTTAGGTACAGTGCATTGGGAAAGTATTCAGACCCCTTGACTTTTGCCACATTTTGTTACGTTACAGCCTTATTCTAAACTTATTTAAGTAGTTTTTTTTTTCCTCATCAATCTACACACAATACCCCATAACGACAAAGCAAAAACAGGTTTTTCGACATTTTAGCAAACATTAAAAATAAAGAAACTGAAATATCACATTTACATAAGTATTCAGACCCTTTACTCAGTACTTCGTTGAAGCACCTTCTGCGATTACTGCCTCGAGTCTTCTTGGGTATGACGCTACAAGCTTGGCACACCTGTATTTGGGGAGTTTCTCCCATTCTTCTCTGCAGATCCTCTCAAGTTCTGTCAGGTTGGATGGGGAGCGTTGCCGCATAGCTATTTTCAAGTCTCTCCAGAGAGGTTCGATCGGGTTCAAGTCTGGAGATTGAGACTTGTCCCGAAGCCACTCCTGCGTTGTCTTGGCTGTGTGCTTAGGGTCGTTGTCATGTTGGAAGGTGAACCTTCGCCCCAGTCTGAGGTCCTGAGTGCTCGGGAGTAGGTTTTCATCAAGGATCTCTCTGTACTTTGCTCCGTTCATGTTTTCCTCGATCCTGACTAGACTCCCAGTCCCTGCCGCTGAAAAACATCCCCACAGCATGATGCTTCCACCACCATGCATCACCGTAGGGATGGTGCCAGGTTTCCTCCAGACGTGACGCTTGGCATTCAGGCCAAAGAGTTCAATCTTGGTTTCATCAGACCAGAGAATCTTGTTTCTCATGGTCTGAGAGTCCTTTAGTTGCCTTTTGGCAAACTTCCAAGCAGGCTTTCATGTGCCTTTTACGGAGGAGTGGCTTCCGTCTGGCCACTCTACCATAAAGGCCTGATTGGGAGTACTGCAGAGATGGTTGTCCTTCTGGAAGGTTCTCCCATCTCCACAGAGGAACTCTACAGCTCTGTCAGTGACCATCGGGTTCTTGGTCACCTCCCTGACCAAGGCCCTTATCCCCCGATTGCTCAGTTTGGCCAGCTCTAGGAAGAGTCTTGGTGGTTCTAAATTTCTTCCATTTAAGAATGATGGAGTCCACTGTGTTCTTGGAGAACTTCAATGCTGCAGAAATGTTTTGATACCCTTTTGATACCCTTCCCCAAATCTGTGCCTCGACACAATCCTGTCTTGGAGATCTACGGACAATTCCTTCGACCTCATGGCTTGGTTTTTGCTCTGACATGCACTGTCAACTGTGGGACCTGATATAGACAGGTGTGTCTTTCCAAATCATGTCCAATGAATTGAATTTACCACAGGTCGACTCCAAATCAAGTTGTAGAAACATCTCAAGGATGATAAATGGAAACAGGATGCACCTGAGCTCAATTTCGAGTCTCATAGCAAAGGGTCTGAATACTTATGTAAATAAGGTAAGTGAGTTTTCTTCATTTTTTAAATAAAATACCAAAAGTTTCAACAAACCTGTTTTTGCTTTGTCATTATGGGTTATTGTGTGTAGATTGATGAGGAATTTTGGTTCATTTAATCCATTTTATAATTAGACTGTAACGTAACAAAATGTGGAAAAGGTCAAGGGGTCTGAATACTTTCCGAATGCACTGTAGGTTGCCAGATATAACAGTAGTAGTAGTAGGTAGGTTGCCAGATATAACAGTAGTAGTAGTAGGTAAGCTGACAGATAAGTTGTAGTTAGGTTGACAGATTTAACAGTAGTTGTAGTTGACAGGTGATACTCACTATTTTGCGTACATGACTTAAAGCACTTCCCTCTTTGCCTTTGCAGTTGTCAGCCTGGTATGGGGGTGAGATTACAACGTCGTCCATCACCATTATATTCTTCTCCTGCCATTTACAGTCTTTGATGCTGCAGAACACAGTACACATCATTAGATCAACATTTAACTGGTCAAACAGTCCTTGAGCTGAGGAGTCAAGTCTATTGAAACCACTCTAGAATGAGTTTTAATCTGATATTTTGAAATAAAGCATGAAATCTCAATTGAATACTTTTTATTTATGAAGCTAAAACTTGACACAACCTACACAATCATTTATAACAGTATGTATCATTAGATTATCTAAGCCTATTATCTGTAAATGTATATTTAGGGAATACAGAAATTGGGGAGATGCAGGACAACTAAGTACTGTCAGGTATATGTGAATGCCTTTATCCAATTCTCCCGGAGAATCTTGTTGCCCGACATGCTATCAATGTGCGCAGCAGTTGACCATCAAATCACACTGCGTCGGCCGTGTGTGCAAAAACGGAGGTGTCGGAGCTGGGATTGTCGTTACCGCGTCTTACCAATTTAAACAATGCTTAGCAGCCAAAATCAGATCAAGACCTCAAATTTTTCGGAACTTCTGTTGACCTAACATGCGACGTCTTCAAATCACCTGCCTCTAAACCTAGCCATTATGACTGGAAAGGGTGTTCAGTAGGCCCGGGTGGACCAGTGTAGGCCCAGTGGCCTGGGAGGACCAGTGTAGGCCCAGTGGACCGGGTGGACCAGTGTAGGCCCAGTGGCCTGGGAGGACCAGTGTAGGCCCAGTGGACCGGGTGGACCAGTGTAGGCCCAGTGGCCTGGGAGGACCAGTGTAGGCCCAGTGGACCAGTGTAGGCCCAGTGGACCGGGTGGACCAGTGTAGGCCCAGTGGACCGGGTGGACCAGTGTAGGCCCAGTGGACCGGGTGGACCAGTGTAGGCCCAGTGGACCGTGTGGACCAGTGTAGGCCCAGTGGACCGGGTGGACCAGTGTAGGCCCAGTGGACCGGGTGGACCAGTGTAGGCCCAGTGGACCGGGTGGACCAGTGTAGGCCCAGTGGACCAGTGTAGGCCCAGTGGCCTGGGAGGACCAGTGTAGGCCCAGTGGACCAGTGTAGGCCCAGTGGACCGGGTGGACCAGTGGACCTAGGCCCAGTGGACTGGGAGGACCAGTGTAGGCCCAGTGGCCCGGGTGGACCAGTGTAGGCCCAGTGGCCTGGGTGGAAAACATTGGACTGCTGTAGTTTACAACAATTATAATTTCTAAAGTGGAAGTTGGGAGAGTTATATTTGAGTGTTTCAATGAAACGTACGTGAGGGAGGCCCCGCTCTCTCGCTTTCCCAGATGTTTAGTTAATTTCATTCCGATCTCCTTTGCATTATTGTAGCCTTTTCTGTAGCCTGTCAACTATGTGTCTGTCTATCCCTGTTCTCTCCTCTCTGCACAGGCCATACAAACGCTTCACACCGCGTGGCTGCTGCCACTCTAATCTGGTGGTCCCTGCGCACACAACCCACGTGGAGTTCCAGGTCTCCGGCAGCCTCTGGAACTGCCGTTCTGCGGCCAACAAGGCAGAGAGTTCATCAATGAGCTTGACGCCTTGATAAGTTCCTTTCCTGAGGATGGCTCACCTCTCACAGTTCTGGGTGACTTTAACCTCCCTACGTCTACCTTTGACTCATTTCTCTCTGCCTCCTTTCCACTCCTTTCCTCTTTTGACCTCACCCTCTCACCGCCCCCATCTTTACTAGATGCTGTTCTTCTACTAATCTCACTGCAACTCCCCTCCATGTCTCCGACCACTACTTTGTATCCTATTCTCTCTCGCTCTCCTCCAACACTACTCACTCTGCCCCTACTCAGATGGTAATGTGCAGTCGCAAACTTCGCTCTCTCTCTCTCCTCTTCCATCCTATCATCTCTTCCCCCTGCTAAATCCTTCTCCCTCCGATCTCCTGATTCTGCCTCCTCAACCCTCCTCTCCTCCCTTTCTGCATCTTTTGACTCTATGTCCCCTATCCTCCCGGCCGGCTCAGTCCTCCCCTCCTGCTCCATGGCTTGATGACGCATTGCGAGCTCACAGAACAGGGCTCCGGGCAGCCGAGCGGAAATTGAGGAAAACTAGACTCCCTGCGGACCTGGCATCTGTTCACTCCCTCCTCTCTACATTCTCTTCCTCTGTTTCTGCTGCTAAAGCCACTCTCTACCACTAGATTTCAAGCCTCTGCCTCTAACCATAGGAAGCTCTTTGCCACCTTCTCCTCCCTGCTGAATCCTCCTCCACATCCATCTCCCACCTCCCTCTCTGTGGATGACTTAATCAACCATTTTGATAAGAATGTTGACGACATCCGATCCTCATTTATTAAGTCAAATGACACCGCTAGTCCTGTTCACTGCCCTACCCTATGCTTGGACTTCTTTCTCCCCTTTCTCTCCAGATGAAATCTTGCGACTTGTGACGGCCGGCCGCCCAACAACCTGCCCGCTTGACCCTAACCCCTCCTCTCTTCTCCAGACCATTTCCGGAGACCTTCTCCCTTACCTCACCCCGCTCATCAACTCATCCTTGACCGCTGGCCATGTCCCTTCAGTCTTCAAGAGAGCGAGAGTTGCACCCCTCCTCAAAAAACCTACACTCGATCCCTCCGATGTCAACAACTACAGAACAGTATCCCTTCTTTATTTTCTCTCCAAAACTCTTGAGCGTGCCGTCTCTAGGCAACTCTCCTGCTATCTCTCTCAGAATGACCTTCTTGATCCAAACCAGTCAGGTTTCTAGACTGGTCATTCAACTGACTGCTCTTCTCTGTGTCACGGAGGCTCTCCGCACTGCTAAAGCTAACTCTCTCTCCTCTGCTCTTATCCTACTAGACCTATCTGCTGCCTTTGATACTGTGAACCATCATATCCTCCTCTCCACCCTCTCAGAGTTGGGCATCTCCGGCGCTGCTCACTCTTGGATTGCGTCCTACCTGACAGGTCGCTCCTACCAGGTGGCGTGGCGAGAATCTGTTTCCGCACTACGTGCTCTCACCACTGGTGTCCCCCAGGGCTCAGTTCTAGGCACTCTCCTATTCTCTCTATACACCAAGTCACTTGGCTCTGTCATATCCTCACATGGTCTCTCCTATCATTGCTACGCTGTCCTCCCGAGTGGCGCAGTGGTCTAAGGCACTGCATCGCAGTGCTAGCTGTGCCACTAGATATCCTGGTTCGAATCCAGGCTCTGTCGTAGCCGGCCGCGACCGGGAGACCCATGGGGCGGCACACAATTGGCCCAGCGTTGTCCAGGGTAGGGGAGGGAATGGCCGGCAGGGATGTAGAGCATGGTGTTTGCAACGCCAGGGTTGTGGGTTCGATTCCCACGTGGGGCCAGTATGAAAAAATATATATATAAAAAAATCATCATGTATGCACTCACTAACCAGGTGGCGAATCGCATCTCTGCATGTCTGGCAGAAATATCAGTGTTGATCACGGATCACCAACTCAAGCTGAACCTCGGCAAGACGGAGCTGCTCTTCCTCCCGGGGAAGGACTGCCCGCTCCATGATCTCGCCATCATGGTTGACAACTCCATTGTGTCCTCCTCCCAGAGTGCAAAGAACCTTGGCGTGACCCTGGACAACACCCTGTCGTACTCCGCTAACATCAAAGCGGTGACCCGATCCTGCAGGTTCATGCTCTACAACATTCGCAGAGTACGACCCTACCTTACACAGAAAGCGGCACAGGTCCTAATCCAGGCTCTTGTCATCTCCCGTCTGGATTACTGCAACTCGCTGTTGGCTGGGCTCCCTGCCTGTGCCATTAAACTCCTACAATTTCTCCAGAATGCTGCAGCCCTTCTGGTGTTCAACCTTCCCAAGTTCTCTCATGTCACCCCGCTCCTCCGCGTACTCCACTGGCTTCCAGTTGAGGCTCGCATCTACTACAAGACCATGGTGCTTGCCTACGGAGCTGTGAGCGGAACGGCACCTCCTTACCTTCAGGCTCTGATCAGACCCTACACCCAAACGATAAAAGTAATACTTCTGCTCCCCCTATCATAAGTTGAATGCACCTATTTGTAAGTCGCTCTGGATAAGAGCGTCTGCTAAATGACGTAAATGTGGACCAGTGTAGGCCCAGTGGACTCGGAGGACAATGGATCAATAAAGAATGCCCATATATTATTATAACCAGTAGCCTATGCAGCCTACCGATACTCTGCCCCTCTGGAATTAATCAAGTTTATCGACTTGAAAGGCACTTACGTTTTGTGAATAGTCTGGAATAGATGCTGGCCCTCCGCAGAAACCCCAGCACTGATTGCATATGCTTGGGACAGCTTGTCCTCCTTCTCTGACCGTGCTCGATTAGCAAGCTGAGAGAAAGATGGAGGAGAAAGTTAGGAGGGGGTTCAGAGTAGAAGGCACTCAACCAACGTGAGTTGAGGTGCAACCAAAAACTACACTCAACAAAAATATGAAATGCAACATGTAAAGTGTTGGTCCCATGTTTCCATGAGCTGAAATAAAAGATCACAGAAATGTTCCATACGCACAAAAAGCTTCTCAAATTTTGTGCACAAACTTGTTCACATCCCTGTTAGTGAGCGTTTCTCCTTTGTCAAGATAATCCATCCACCTGACAGGTGTAGCACCTTGTGCTGGGGACAATAAAAGGCCACACTAAAATGTGCAATTTTGTCACAACACAATGCCAAAGATGTCTGAAGTTTTGAGGGAGCGTGCAATTGGCATGCTGACTGCAGGAATGTCCACCAGAACTGTTACCAGATAATTGAAATGTTAATTTCTCTACCATAAGCATCATTTTAGAGAATTTGGCAGTACGTCCAACCAGCCTCACAACCGCAGAACCACATGTAACGATGCCAGCCTAGGACCTCCACATCCGGCTTCTTCACCTGTGGGATCGTCTGAGACCAGCTACCCGGACAGCTGATGAAACTGTGGGTTTGCACAACCGAAGGATTTCTGCACAAACTGTCAGAAACCGTCTCAGGGAAACTCATCTGCGTGCTCGTCATCCTCATCAGGGTCTTGACCTGACTGCAGTTTGGCGTCGTAATCAACTTCAGTGGGCAAATGCTCACCTTCGATGGCCATTTGCACACTGGAGAAGTGTGCTCTTCACGGATGAATCCCGGTTTCAACTGTACCGGGCAGATGGCAGACTGCATCGTGTGGGCGAGCGGTTTGCAGATGTCAACATTGTGAACAGCGTGCCCCATGGTGGCGGTGGGGTTATGGTATGGGCAGGCATAAGCTACAGACAACAAACACAATTGCATTTTATCAATGGCAATTTTAATGCACAGATACCGTGACCCTGAGGCCCATTGTCGTCCCATTCATCCGCCACCATCACCTCATGTTTCAGCATGATAATGCACGGCCCCATTTTGCAAGGATCTGTACACAATTCCTGGAAGCTGAAAATGTCCCAGTTCTTCCATGGCCTGCATACTCACCAGACATGTCACCCATTGACCCAGAGCATCCCAAACATGCTTGACAGCGTGTTCCAGTTCCCGCCAATATCCAGCAACTTTGCACAGCCTTTAAAGAGGAGTGGGACAACATTCCATTGGCCACAGCAGGAGGCAAATGGTGGTCACACCAGATACTGACTGGTTTTCTGATCCACGCCCCTACCCTTTTTTAAAAAGGTATCTGTGACCAACAGATGCATATATGTATTCCCAGTCATTTGAAATCCATAGATAAGGGCCTAATTTATTTATTTAAATTGACTGATTTCCTTATATGAACTGTAACTCAGTAAAATCTTTGAAATTGTTGCATGTTGCGTTTATATTATATCAGTGTAGTTGAAGGTAATAGGCGCGATACGGAACTCTCAATTACAATTGATAACCTTGATCAGAAACATGGGATGAGAAAGTTGACAAGGAAGATTTAACAATGACTGGCTCAGATGGGTGATTATTTGAGACAGGTGACAAATGTAACTCAAGTCATCTCATCGCAAGTAACCTAACACTGGGCCTGGCCTGTTCATAAGATGTACAAAACAATGTTTGACAGATTTTGTTTTCCATACAAATAGGCTAATCATAAGCACTTTACGAATCCCGACTGAAGCCTAGGCTACACAAAAAGTCAACAAGCATCTACAGCAGGGGTATTCAAATCTTACCCTCTGAGGTTGTGACTACTCCTGGTTTTCTGTTCTACCTGATAATTAAGTTCACACACACCTGGTGTCCCAGGTCTAAATCAGTCCCTGATTAGAGGGGAAGAATGAAAAAAGCAGTGGAACTGGCTGAATTTGTGGGATCTACAGTATGACAGCAGATGAGGGCTTACCTTGCTAACATTCAGTGATGCTAGAGGAGGAGGAGTTTCAGTGCGATCATTTATTATATCCACTTCAGAAACATAGGCTAAATTGATCAGGATAACGTCGTGGAGATTTGGCTTTCTGCTGGAGGGATCACATTCTGGGAGGAACTCAAGTCAAGGTAAACAAGCTGTGTAGTAGCAGTATTAGTAGTAGATCAGCATTGTAGTAGCAGTAACAGTAGAAAAGAAGCATCCTAGCACATGGCTTGGTAACTAGAGCATCAGTGACATTCAAAGAATCTCAAGACCTGTGGATAGATAAGGAGGGTTCACTTTAAGTCTATACAAAAACACCCCATTATACCAATGACCCAGACTGCATACAGCCTTTCTGTCATGCTGCACGGTATTCCAGCCATTTGACTGAGCATTTGGAAGGCATGTCTCTCACATGAGAGTCACACCTATTCCTTCCAAATGCACTTATGATTTATTTGCTTACACCTCATCTCACGTTGGTTGAGCACCTTCTACTCCTCTCCAGGTATTTCACTGAGCAAATATAACATCAACATCAGCAGGGTTAGAAAGTGTTAATCGTCAATATTAGGGTCTATATCCCCATCAATCATCAATATTAGGGTCTATTCTCCATCAATATTAGGGTCTATTCTCCCCATCAATCGTCAATATTAGGGTCTATTCTCCCCATCAATATAATGGTCTATTCTCTCCATCAATCGTCAATATTAGGGTCTATTCTCCCCATTAATCGTCAATATTAGGGTCTATTCTCCCCATCAATATTAGGGTCTATTCTCCCCATCAATCGTCAATATTAGGGTCTATTCTCCCCATCAATATTAGGGTCTATTCTCCCCATCAATATTAGGGTCTATTCTCCCCATCAATCGTCAATATTAGGGTCTATTCTCCCCATCAATCGTCAATATTAGGGTCTATTCTCCCCATCAATCATCAATATTAGGGTCTATTCTCCCCATCATTCATCAATATTAGGGTATATTCTCCATCAATATTAGGGTATACTCTCCCCATCAATCGTCAATATTAGGGTCTATTCTCCCCATCAATATTAGGGTCTATTCTCCCCATCAATCGTCAATATTAGGGTCTATTCTCCCCATCAATCGTCAATATTAGGGTCTATTCTCCCCATCAATCATCAATATTAGGGTCTATTCTCCCCATCATTCATCAATATTAGGGTATATTCTCCATCAATATTAGGGTATACTCTCCCCATCAATCGTCAATATTAGGGTCTATTCTCCCCATCAATATTAGGGTCTATTCTCTCCATCAATCGTCAATATTAGGGTCTATTCTCCCCATCAATATTAGGGTCTATTCTCCCCATCAATCGTCAATATTAGGGTCTATTCTCCCCATCATTCATCAATATTAGGGTCTATTCTCCCCATCAATATTAGGGTCTATTCTCCCCATCAATCATCAATATTAGGGTCTATTCTCCCCATCATTCATCAATATTAGGGTCTATTCTCCTCATCAATCATCAATATTAAGGTCTATTCTCCCCATCAATCGTCAATATTAGGGTCTATTCTCCCCATCAATCATCAATATTAGGGTCTATTCTCCCCATCATTCATCAATATTAGGGTCTATTCTCCCCATCAATCATCAATATTAGGGTCTATTCTCCCCATCAATCATCAATATTAGGGTCTATTCTCCCCATCAATCGTCAATATTAGGCTCTATTCTCCCCATCAATCATCAATATTAGGGTCTATTCTCCCCATCATTCATCAATATTAGGGTCTATTCTCCCCATCAATCATCAATATGAGGGTCTATTCTCCCCATCAATCGTCAGGAACCTTCTTAAGTTGCTCAACCTCTACACTTAGAGGCACTGTTATAACCCCTTGAGAGGAGCTCTGTTCCGTAGACTAAAACTTCTTGTTCCCCCAGTTGAACAAAGCTCGATCCCTCTGGGAGATAGGGTGTACATATGTCAGAGGAGGTTGGTGGCACCTTAATTGGGGATGACGGACTCGTAGTAAAGGCTGGAGCGGAATAGGTGGAATGGTATCAAATACATCAAACACATGGTTTCCATGTGTGATGCTATTCCATTTGTACCGTTCCGGACATTATTATGAGCCGTCTTCCCCTCAGCAGCCTCCACTGACATCAATCATAATGAATCCACTTCATGCTACCTTGACTGACTGCATCTTTCCTAGCTTACTCTCCACCCACCCCGATACCACAAACGGACCAGACAAAACCCCATGCTTGACTTTTTCCTTGAATCCTACTCCAACCAGCAATGAATCCTGTTTCCTTTCCGCTCTTCAGACTCTTCCTCATTCTCTTCAACTCGTTGATCACTAATAACAGGAGATACAAGGTCCTCAGTTCTATATTCAGGAGACATCCGAGAGCCCCAGGTCTATAGGAAGACGTATGTCTACACTCAGGAGACCAATATTCCATGTCTTATCTGGCCTTATGTCACATTAAACATATTGATCATATCTGGCCTTATGTCACATTAAACATATTGTTTGTCCTTGTAACTATTATTCTCAAATTGCATTATTTCAGGACTGGTGCAGTCTTGGTTTGACCTAGATCACAGTTGACTAATGTAGTCCCGTGTAGCTCAGTTGGTAGAGCATGGCGCTTGCAACGCCAGGATTGTGGGTTCGATTCCCACGGGGGACAAGTATGAAAATGTATGCACTCACTAACTGTAAGTCGCTCTGGATAAGAGTGTCTGCTAAATGACTAAAATGTCAAATGTAAAAATGCAATATTAGGGTATATTCTCCCCATCAATCGTCAGTATTAGGGTCTATTCTCCCCATCAATATTAGGGTCTATTCTCCATCAATCATCAATATTAGGGTATATTCTCCCCATCAATCATCAATATTAGGGTCTATTCTCCCCATCAATCATCAATATTAGGGTCTATTCTCCCCATCAAAAATGTAAAATCTCAGACACCTGTAGATCAACATAATAAAAAGTGGTAGACTGAGGAGCTGTGGTTAGAGACTGAGGAAGTCTTGCCAGACGCATGGCGCTCCGTCAGCAGCTGTGGTTAGAGACTGAGGAAGTCTTGCCAGACGCATGGCGCTCCGTCAGCAGCTGTGGTTAGAGACTGAGGAAGTCTTGCCAGACGCATGGCGCTCCGTCAGCAGCTGTGGTTAGAGACTGAGGAAGTCTTGCCAGACGCATGGCGCTCCGTCAGCAGCTGTGGTTAGAGACTGAGGAAGTCTTGCCAGACGCATGGCGCTCCGTCAGCAGCTGTGGTTAGAGACTGAGGAAGTCTTGCCAGACGCATGGCGCTCCGTCAGCAGCTGTGGTTAGAGACTGAGGAAGTCTTGGGGAAGGCCTGTTAGTTAGTGGCCTAGTCAGCTGGAATGACAACCAAGGGCAATGCTGCCACCTATTGCAGCCACAGGAGAACATTCCCAGGTTGTAGCATGACAATGAATGACAGGAAGCATCCTAGAGAAGGTAGAGAGGCATGAATGGAAACAGAATAAAAGATGTACCGCATAAGGCACTAAATGCAGAGATGGTGTCCTTCCACAACATAGTTTAGTGTTAAACGTCTAGGCCTAAATACTGAAAATATACACATTCTCCTGGAGGTACATCTATCACCTCTGGGATAGCTTGTTAAAAACAACCAGAATACCTGGTAAGATGCTGGACATCCCTCATCAGCGCTGAGGACTGGTCACTTCAATCATGCCATCTGAACAAAACACGCATGCTATTCATCTACAAAACATCCAACTACAGTTATGCCTTTAACCAAAACACAGAAAGAATTGCAACTGTGGTTACATTTTTACTTGCTTTGTTCATTTTACATTTTAGTCATTTAGCAGACGCTCTTATCCAGAGCGACTTACAGTTAGTGAGTGCATACATTTTCATACTGGCCCCCCGTGGGAAACAAACCCACAACCCTGGCGTTGCAAACGCCATGCTCTACCAACTGAGCTACAGGGGACTGGTGTTGTTCCTGGTGGGGTCTTTACGGTCTGCCACTGCCATTCTTTGACAATAACAGGTTCTCTCCTATTAAATTCAGAAGCTCGGTGAGTGCTAAACTACATCTCCAGTCTCAGTGGACTGGTATAACGAGAAGAAAGAATACAGTTGAATGGCTAGCAATAGTGGCAGGCATGCGTTCAAACAGCCTTCTGCCTTCTCCCTACAGTTCTCAGCCATTAGCTTCGCCCACGAGTTATGTGAACTACAATCCCGAAGCTGTGTTTTAAAGCTGCAATATGTAACTTTTTGGGCGACCCGATCAAATTCACATAGAAATGTGAGTTATAGATCTGTCATTCTCATTGAAAGCAAGTCTAAGAAGTGGTAGATCTGTTCTATGTGCACTATTTCTATGCTTCCTGTTTTTGCGTCTTTTACGTTTGGTACACCAGCTTCAAACAGCTGAAAATACAATGTTTGGTTATATTTCACAGCGGTTTAGATGGTACAATGATTCTCTACACTATACTTGCTTGTTTTGTCACTAACTGAAATTACGGACACTATTAAAATCTTTGCAACCAGGAAATGGTGGAGCGATTTCTGCATAGCGCATCTTTAACGTTTGGAAACTTCAATTATCGTCGCTTGCGATTTGGCTTTCGAAACATATGGCCCTTATCTTTCATCAGCAAGAAAGAATCCTTCAAATAAAAAAGATACACTTACTGTAGCAGTTACAGAGCCATACAGCTATGGTGCCGCCATCCGACCAAACTACACTTCTGCTACACTAACCTTAAACTTACACACAGGTGTTGGGAGCACGCTAGAAAGCTAATTAGCAGGGCCTGCCCACTCATAAGGCAGGATTAGGCGAACGCCTATGGCGGCAAGACTGACGAGGGTTACGCTTCGGCGCGATCAAGGTGTGTATCAATTTAACCTTTTGTTTTTTGGAAATTATTTCTCGCTGATATGAAAGATAAGGTCCTTATGCCTCATGTCCACCAGATGCAAACTGTGTTCCGGCGGAAGTCATTCATTGTCAATGGAGCAGTCCACAATGTCAATGGAGCAGTCCACAATGTCAATGGAGCAGTCCACAATGTCAATGGAGCAGTCCACAATGTCAATGGCGTAGTCCACAATGTCAATGGCGCAGTCCACAATGTCAATGGAGCAGTCCACAATGTCAATGGAGCAGTCCACATTGTCAATGTAGCAGTCCTTTGGGGGTGCAGCACTAGGCTGTGATGTGTTCTGTGTACTGCATCAAATCAAATGTATTTATTAAGCCCTTTTTACATCAGCAGATGTCACAAAGTGCTTATACAGAAACCCAGCCTAAAACCCCAAACAGCAAGCAATGCAGATGTAGAAGCAGGTGGCTAGGAAAAATTCCCTAACTCCCTAGTGTGGCGTACTGCATTAGCGTCGAACAGCCCCCGCGATATGCAACTTTTCAGGGAAGTCAGGAACCAATATACACAATCAGTTAGGAAAGCAAAGGCTAGCTTTTTCAAATAGAAATGTGCATCCTGTAGCACTAACTCCAAAAAGTTTTGGGACACTGTAAAGTCCATGGAGAATAAGAGCACCTCCTCCCAACTGCCCACTGCACTGAGGCTAGGAAACACTGTCACCACCGATAAATCTACAATGATCGAGAATTTCAACAAGTATTTTGCTACGGCTGGCCATGCTTTCCACCTGGCTACCACTACCCCGGCCACCAGCTCTGCACCGTCCGCTGCAACTTGCCCATGCCCTCCCTGCTTCTCCTTCACACAAATTCAGACAGCTGATGTTCTGAAAGAGCTGAAAAATCTGGACCCCTACAAATCAGCTGGGCTAGACAATCTGGACCCTTTCTTTCTAAAATTAGCCGTCGAAATTGTCGCAACCCCTATTACTAGCCTGTTCAACCTCTCGTAACGCCTGAGATCCCCAGAGATTGGAAAGCTGCCGCGGTCATCCCCCTCTTCAAAGGGGGTGACACTCTAGATCCAAACTGTTACTGACCTATATCCATCCTGCCCTGCCTTTCGAAAGTTTTTGACAGCCAAGTTAACAAACAGATCACCGACCATTTCGAATCCCACCGTACCTTCTCCGCTATGCAATCCGGTTTCCGAGCTGGTCATGGGTGCACCTCAGCCACGCTCAAGGTCCTAAACGATATTATAACCGCGATCGATAATAGACAGTACTGTGCAGCCGTCTTCATCGACCTGGCCAAGGCTTTCGACTCTGTCAACCACCGCATTCCTATTGGCAGACTAAATAGCCTTGGTTTCTCAAATGACTGCCTCGCCTGTTTCACCAACTACTTATCAGATAGAGTTCAATGTGTCAAATCGGAGGGCCTGTTGTCTGGACCTCTGGCAGTCTATGGGGGTGCCACAGGGTTCAATTCTCGGGCCGACTCTATTCTCTGTGTATATCAATGATGTCGCTCTTGCTGCTGGTGACGCTCGGATCCACCTCTATGCGGACGACACCATTTTGTATATACCTGGCCCTTCATTGGACACTGTTAACAAACCTCCAAAACGAGCTTCAACACCATACAACACTCCTTCCGTAGCCTCCAACTGCTCTTAAACACTAGTAAAGCTAAATGTATGCTCTTCAACCGAACGCTGCTTGCACGCTCCCACCCGACTACAATCACTACTCTCGGCGGGTCTGACCTGGAGTATGTGGACAACCACAAATACCTAGGTGTCTGGTTAGACTGTAAACTCTCCTTCCAGACTCACATTAAGCATCTCCAATCAAAAGTTAGATCTAGAATCGGCTTCCTATTTCACAACAAAGCCTCCTTCACTCATGCTGCCAAACATGCCCTCGTAAAACTGACTATCCTACCGATTCTTGACTTTGGCGATGTCATTTACAAAATAGCCTCCAACACTCTACTCAGCAAATTGAATATAGTCTATCACAGTGCCATCCATTTTGTCAGCAAAGCCCCATATACTACCCACCATTGTGACCTGTACGCTCTTGTTGGCTGGTCCTCACTACATATTCGTCGCCAAACCCACCGGCTCCAGGTCATCTATAAATCACTGCTAGGCAAATCCCAGTCTTATTTTAGCTCACTGGTCACCATAGCAACACCCACCCGTAGTCTGCGCTCCAGCAGGTATATCTCACTGGTCATCCCCAAAGCCAACACCTCCCTTGGCCTCCATTCCTTCCAGTTCTCTGCTGTCAATGACTGGAACGAACTGCAAAAATCTCTGAAGCTGGAGACTCTTATCTCCCTCACTAACTTTAAGCATCAGTTGTCAGAGCAGCTTACCGATCACTGCACCTGTACACAGCCATTCTGAAATTAGCCCACCCAACTACCTCATCCTCATATTGTTATTTATTTTGCTAATTTGCACCCCAGTATCTCTATTTGCACATCATCTTTTGCACATCTATCATTCCAGTGTTAATATGAAATTGTAACTATTTTGCACTATGGCCTATTTATTGCCTTACCTCCATAACTTACTACATTTGCACACACTGTATATATATTTTCTGTTGTATTTTTGACTTTATGTTTGTTTTACCCCATATGTAACTCTGTGTTGTTGTTTTTAATCGCACTGCTTTGCTTTATCTTGGCCAGGTCGCAGTTGTAAATGAGAACTTGTTCTCAACTGGCTTACCTGGTTAAATACAAATAAATAAAAAAAGAGTAACCAGGCTCTGAGGGGTGGCCAGTCCTCTTCTGGCTGTGCCTGGTGGAGATTATAAGAGTACATTGCGATTAAGGCCAGATCGTTATTCAAGATGTTCAAAGATGACCAACAGGGTCAAATAATAATCACAGTGGTTGTTGAGGGTGCAACAGGTCAGCACTGCATGAGCTCAATATTTTCTAATCATGCGTTGCTTTACCATGCGGTGGTACAAACGTAAGTAAACACACTCCAACTACCTAGCTTTTAACTAGTTGAAAAGCAAAACACATGTGCCTCAAGTATGCAAAATGCGGGCTAGAAATCAAAAACTGTACTGCAAGCAAGCTATGCATCTTAATGTTCAGACCGAGCGTCGGGGATCTTAACAACCCCCCCAATACTACAGAAGAAGCCTTCATCCAATGACTCTTTTT